CTTCCTTTTGCAATTTTTGTTCATTGATTTACATCTTTTTATAATTATAATAATTTGTTAATTTGTTTCTACACTCTCACTGCAATTTTTATTTTACTTTCTTTGAATATAATGTGGTGTTTAAAATAGTGTCAAGATAAGTCTCTAGTTGCATGATTCTAATTTATGTTTTATATTTCCATAAGTATTTTGACATACCTGTTTTTTTCTAATATTAGCGCAAAAGCGTAATTAAAATATTCAATTTTTTTTATTTCACTATATTTTCTTTAATACGTGTCCGAAGCGATCGAACATTTAGATGTATATTACACATATGCTTATGATAAGGTTCATAATCTAAATGCGATGTATAGAAATCTCCTATTCTTGTCTCGCTTTCGATCGGACTTTCACATATGCAAATAAGCCATATTTGCTGAAATATATATAAGTAACAATCTTGTGATGCATTATTATCCATTGCTCTTTTATTTCTCTGGCAGCTCATTTACTGTATTTATTGATCATATTTTATCAAATATTGCTGTCTAGAGCCAAAATACAAACTCTTATACTTTGTAACTGCCTTATGACTAATTAGCACCCGTGGTCGGGTATTGGAGTGAAGTGCTAACATCGCCATGCTACTCACAATCTTATAACGACTCCTCTAAGCTAGGTCCAAACTGCAGTCTATCTTGGATGAGACGAGTTTTTTTAAGCAAGGCTAGGTGAAATTTACTATCATTGTAGGCAAAACTCATTCATATTACACGACCCAGGGTAACGTGATACTCTTTCATGTACTCTTTTGTTATAATTCTCTGCTATTAAATTTACCACACTTCATTTTAATAATTTCTTTTCACAATAATCCGAAATAAAGAAGAATTTTAAGCACCTTAATCAATCCTTGATACAGATACTCTGCGAAAAAATATATATATTATACTTAATGACGCAGGCTATTTTGTTTCATTTCCATCCATATTTCATTCCATACCTATTTTCTCTTTCAAAGTGACATATCCACATTGCCTCGCAGAATTAGGAATGCTTGGAAATGGTGAAGATTATTATATCTGCTTGCAACACTATGTTGCGTGTTATGAGGGCAGAATCACGACAAATGTATCGAGGTTCCTGAAGAAAGACAGAAAAATTAAATCTAAGAGGGAAATTTTCCAGGTTGAGGAAGCCTAAAATTTTTATTTTTTACTAATTTTCCTTAGATTCTATAGCAATTCTTTATTGCTTACATGATGTAGCTCGTTTTAGTTAGTGTGTATGTACAGGCCGTCTCCATAGACCTAAAAGATTGAGATTTCTTAAACAAGATCATTTATTTCAACGACTATTAATATCTAAACTATTTTTGAAAATGTATCAGTGGATTTCTCACCAATGAGTTTGAATTCAAATACATTATCAATTATGAAGTTGTTTCTCTTACTCCCTATTTAGTACAATTGAAGAATTATTCACTTATTCAATCAAGAACATTCTCCCACTCATTGATGATGCATTATAGTGTTTGGTACGCCTAGTAATTTACCTCACACGTTGATTAACTTACTACAAAGCATATTTTTATTCTCAACCTGAAATTCATCACAGTTAATGCACGTTTTACAGATGCTAAGATAACTTTTGAATTGATATCCAAGATTACTATCGTAAATTTGTTAACCGAATTTCATAACCTTATATATAGGTGCATCGGGCCTGACCTTCAGGGATCTCGTTGGCCACTAATTGGACCGATCACTGTTGTAGTGATTTTCAACCTAATAGTCCTTATCATTGTTGGAGCCATGTTGTTGCGCAACTATATAGCAACAAGAAAGAGCAGAGTTAGGAAAAGCACGTGAGTAAAGTACCTACACCTTAATACTTGCTATACATGATCTATGCATTAAAACATAGTTAAATTTTCTTATCTCCATTGCCTTACTGGCATTTTTTTAGCTTTTTCTCGTCTTCTCTTTGCTCTCCTCACCTCCTATTTATAACTTTTCTTTTTTCTCTTATTTTAACTTATCATCGAACCTGCTACTATTTCCATTTTTTAAATCCACTTTTACCATCAGCTTATAGCTTAAGTAATCTTTGATTTGTCCTATACTTTGCTAAATGCATTTCTTGCTCCACTTATTCATTTATTTAAGTTTATGACGTGGCATCTATTTGTCCAGGCTATTAAAATATGACGGAACTCACTTTGACTAATGCTGTTTTATTTTCTCATACATCATTTTTAACTCATTTCCTTTACATAAAATCTACGATACACACTCCATAAATTTATTGTATACTACGAAGTTAACAATAGTTGGCAAATATTTTTTTGTCTTAGCATTTAATTTTAATTTTTGGTTTTATATAGGGTTGCCTAAAAAATGTCTAAAAAAATCTAGCGAACTTTCTTTATTCATATGTAAATTTTATTAGATACAGATCATTTTTTTATAAAATTTCTATTTTTATAATCAACATTTTTACATAACTGGACTCAAAGTAATTCTATTAAGATTGGTTGTTAAATAAAAATTAAAACTCTATAGAATGATTAATCCTTTTAGCAACAAGCAATGGTCCTGTTCATCTAGCTTTTAAATGAGTTGTTAAGTATGGATCACTGGAAAAGTAACTTCGCATGTCTGATCTCTATTGACGATGGTTGAATAAATAATAAAATCGTCTGATTTTTGTTTAGTAAATAGGCTTTTATTCTTTGGCATAAGATTAAACTGAACTTTACATCTAGTACTATGAATTATGCGTGTAGTTTCGATTACAATCAACTTACTGGTTCTTGTATAGCTTTCTCAGTGGGAAAAAACAATCTCAATTTGTAGAACATGCTATTAACCATGACTATTTCAAAGCAACCGTCTTAACTACTTGATTGCTTAAGTTAGCCTAAATGTATATGCTGGATAATCCTAAACTATATAAACACCTTGATCTTACTATGTTATTAGTTATTAAGTTTTACTTGTCATAAGCTACTTACAAAATACATTAATGCATTTTACATGTGCGCTGAGGTCATAACTCAGAATGTCGTATATGCTTAATATCTTATACAAGACAGCGCAATGTTTTTAGCCCAATTTATTCGCAAATGCAGGGCGGTATTAATCAAAATTAGGCCTTAATACGCAAAAAGGGTTTATAATTTTGTCATGCCTTAGAATTTGTTTCTGGTTCAGTTAGTTCAGTTAGTTCAGTTTTATCATAGAGGTTCTCATACGAAAATAGTTATTTAACTTATATTAGCTCTCGATATCCGGTACAGCTTTGACAATTATACTCTATTTATTGCTTCCTATTTCTTCTGATACTTTTTCTCACATTTTCAAACCCATCCTTGAGCATAAACTTTTTAAAATGCTGGTATAAATTCGAAGTCTACAGGCTTCGATCCACCGAGCCGTCAAGCATTAAATATCTAGTCCTTTAGTATATAAGCTAAGGAATTTCTAGGATCCATGTCATTCCGATCACTAAGCAATTCTAAAGGATATATCCTCTCGCATCTTATATATTTTAGTACCCAATGATGATCCCTGCTCAATATCATCATTCATACAGTATATCAAACGAAGTTTAGGATAGAATACATAGGTAAGATTAAGATAGCATCGATTAGAAAAGAGTAAGTAAGTTTCAAGTAATTCTTGATTTATATTTAGCTATTCTTTACTAGGCACTGATTTTATTCGATAGAGACTCCGTTAACCATGTGCCAAGATCGAAAAACGGCATGCAATCGCGCAATCTGTAAGCAAATATGCCAAACGTGATCGACAGCTAGATTTATTTTTACTTTAAACTCGTTGTAGAGTGCATTTATAAAGGCCTACTTAGTGCCATTATTATTAAAAACTTGCACTAATTTAGAGCTAAAACTTAGATATTTATAAGCAATAATACAATACGGAAACTATCAATGCATCTTTTCTTCTAAACTATTATTTATTGTTACAAATTATAACTTAGCCTATCTAAGTCATCCTCAATATTTGATAGATGATTGTTTCCTAACTTTTTCCCCCTTTGTTCTCAGTTATACGTACACTTATTCTAAAGTATTGCCCCTTAATAATATTTATATTTGCGTTGTGACTGTTGCTATATATCTATTTCATTTATCGTTACATTTTAAAGGCAGCTTGACTAACGAATCTCATTTCGAGTATATCCACTGGCTATGAAGAAGAGGCCAGAAATAATATATCTATTTTGAGCTGCTGATTTGGTCTATGGAAAATAATTGATGCTCCTGAGAGTATTTCATTATAAAGAACTAAGTACTTTTTATCTTCTTAGTCAATTTCTTGCCACCCTTAAGCGATAATTTGTGAAGTTATGTATTATTAATTTATATTCTTTAAAAGATAAACCTAATATTATTTACAGAGAAAGACTTGCATTGAGAATGCTAATGAGCTCTTCACTTGTAATTACTTAGGCTATAATCCTATATCTTGGCTGTTTCTTCCATATAAATATTTATATGCATATATATATATATATATATATTCTAGCAACCGCATGCTCCACTTCCTATACATCACTTTTATTCCTTTTTATTCGAGCTACCCTTTGAATCAAGAATACAAGGTTGTAATAACAAAAGATTGAAATACATAAATTATTGAATTATGCGCTTATTCCATTCCTTTTTTAGAGAGAATAATCATGGCCTGTTTATTTATCTAGATGATACTAAAGCTGTAATTTGCCTGATTGGTTGTATGAATCTTAGGCCCATAAACGGCTATATCCTTTACACTTTGTGAAATTACATTCATCAATAACGCTGACAAAAATTCTTACATTCTAAATTATTTTTTCTAGTATATTTGCTGGTTCAGAGGATACATATTTTTTTTGTAATTTTTTTCTATTTTCTTCTTTTCTTTTTTTATTACGATTATTTTAATGACTACCTTTATCACAGGAATCTCATAGTTCTTACTCAATTGATGCTTACTCTGGGGATTCCCTATATGCTGATCTACGTACAGGTTATCAACCAGGTTGTCATGCTTGTGGTTCTACCTATCGCCATTGCTACTACTTCTGTGCTCATGTTTCTTTTAGTCGCCGTGATTGATGAGGTGAGTTATCCATTAATCAACAGATTTTGTATTAGGTAGTTTTTAATCCTTACTCTAAATGGCGTACTGTAGATAGGCACATCATATAGTAAGTCTATTTGGAAAAACTGGTATCGTAGAGATAAGATACTGTTTTGCCCAAATGTTTTTACAGCCTCTACACTAATGTTCTCCGCATTGTGTTAAAAACCCTACATGAATACTCGTATGATATATTTAGAATCATTCTACTTTAGTACAAATGCCATTTGATTAAATCGATTCTAATTGTATGATAGTGCATACGCCAATATCCTTTGTTCTTGCTTTGTAAGCTTACTAAATGCATTTAATCTACCTTTCCGAATTTATACACTATCCCCTTTAAATGTGCCTAATATAATTTTAATATTTTGTGACAACAAGCAATAAACCGATACTAATATCATAACTTCGTTGTTTAGTTCTAAAATCTCTTATCATAATAAGATTTCATTTTTGCGATCTGCATATGCAGCAACTAAAATACTGCACGCAATATTTCACTTTGCTGAATGGAAACGTACTTTTTATAAGAAGATCGATTTTAGCAAGCACTTCGTTTTCTCTTATGTGCTTTCTATCCCCAGTAGGTCAGAGTGGATTCGTATGTATATAGATCTATATGCATTACTAAAATTCAGATTGTCTTCTTAATCTAGCCTTAATCTTTTTCTTAGCATCAACCTCAATTAAAATCAAAATATTATAGGAATTTGCTGTAGCTAGATTAATTAAATTGTATTTATTAATTTATACTTCGCTTATAGACCAGGCTAAATGAATCCCTTATGCCTCGTTTATGACGCTTCTCGATAAAATAAAATTTTTATGGCTAAATAGATGTTCGACTAAACATATGGTTTTCTCCATAAGAATTTCCTA